AAAAAAAAAAAAAAAAGAAAGAAAAAGAAACTAAGCTACATATTTTGGAGAGGACTAAAGAAAAACAGACTGTGCTCATACTACAGGAAGCTTATAATCTAGCTGAAAACAGAAGACATCTGAGCATGTAAAAAACCAAATGAACTTAACTGTGCTTAATATAACATCCTTCTTTTAGGGAATGTCTCATTATTCCCTAAACCATAGGGAATCTGTCTTCATTCCTATAGGAAATACAGTAGTATGATAATCATGGGGAATGTGGTTAAATCTACCTTAGGAAAGATGAATAATAGTTACAGAAATCAGAAAAGCAACATACCTAATTTAGCCATCTTTTCAGAGTGTTTTCTATTCTGAAAAGAATAAACTTTATTTCCACCACCTGTAGCAGAGCCATTTTTCAACGATTCTGAAAGAAAAAATGCAACATACATTTAGGAAAAAAGAACAAAATTAACAGAAAAAGAAATTTTGACAAAAAACTAAAGATCTGTACCCCTCACAGCCTTGCATAAAGGTTTAACTATATTTATATATAAAATATTTAGAAATACATTGTAAAGAAAACAGGCTATGGAACTGTTTTTATAGGTTTTAACATGCTATTCAAAGATACACAGACATCTATGTAAAAATACAAAAACATGGCAAAACCCCAGATTAGAGGGATATGCATTCAATTCATAACAACAGTTGCCCCTGGGGAGGGAGGACTAAAAGGACTTTATTGGTTATATTTATTTTCTGAAGCAAAGATGAAAAGTACAATTGTTGAGGTTGAGATTTAAACAGCTGTTTTATGGTAGAAGCTTTCTTGGCCGGGCCCGGTGGCTCACACCTATAATCCCAGCACTTTGGGAGGCTGAGCCAGGTGACCATGAGGTCAGGAGATCGAGAGCATCCTGGCTAACACGGTGAAACCCCGTCTCTACTAAAAATACAAAAAATTCAGCTGGGCATGGGGGCACACGCCTGCAGTCCCAGCTACTCAGGAGGCTGAGGCAGGAGAACTGCTTGAACCCAGGAGGCGGAGGTTGCGGTGAGCAGAGATTGTGCCACTGCACTCTAGCCTGGGCGATAAAGTGAGACTCCAACTCAAAAAAAAAAAAAAAAAAAGCTTTCTTAACAGATGTTGACATTCTTCAGTCTCCTCTTTAAATATCAACTGCTACCTACAACACAGTGAACATTCATTTCTAGTATCCTACTCCCTAACACAGCAATTTCCAACATGTGGCCTGAGGGTTGCCAGGATCCCTGAGGTCAAAATTACTTCTTAATAATACTAAGACATTAATTACCTTTTGATTCTCAATCAAGAGTGTACAGTGAGGTATGCCAGAGACAACATGACGTGATAACAAGTTATCATATTGACTAATGGAATGTGTGAAGCAGGTAAGAAAATCCAGTTGCCTTCAGTGAAGCCAGAAATTAAAAATATAAAACAATGCCCTCCTCATTACGTTTTTGAAACCGTTGTTTTTCATTTAAATATGTGATGTATTGTCAATACTTAATGAATTTATTAGAAAATAGTGTCAAACTTTCCAAAATGTGTGCTCATCCTCCTTATTGCTTAAGCTTTCCTAGTGATCTATATTCCTACTAACTTGGTTTTATCCAAATTCCTTAATCTTTGCCAAACAATGGGTATAAACTGAATCTCATGAAAAGATGTGTCTTAATTTGTGTTTCCTTAATCATTACTGACATAGAACATTTTTTTACAGGTATCTTCTCAGAAAAAAAAACCTTCTTTACACTGTGGCTTGTCTTTACACTCTTTTTATGGTGTCATTTGAAGGAAAGTGCTGGTTTCTTATAAAATAGACTTTACACTAGTCTTTTTACTGTCACCATAGTTTTGCATTTTCCAGAATGTCATATAGTTGGAATCATACAGTATGTAGCCTTTTCAGATTAGCTTCTTTCACTTAGTAACATACTTTTAAGGTCCTTTCATGTCTTGTTCATAGCTTGATAGCTTTTTCATTTAAGTGCTGAATACTCCATGCTCAGGATGTGCCAGTTTGTTCATTCATTCATCTACTGAACGACCTCTTTGTTGCTTCCAAGTTTTGGCCATTATGAATGAAATTGCTATAAAGGTCCACCTGCAGGTTTTTGTGTGGACATGTTTTCAACTCATTTGGGTAAATACTAAGGAGCATAACTGCTGAATTATATGGTTAGAGTATGTTGAATTTTGTAAGCAGCAGCACAGCTGTTTTTCATGGGGCTGTACCATTTTGCATTAACTACAGATAAATGAGTTCTTGTTGCTCCACATCCTAACCAGTATTTGGTGGTATTGGTGCTTTGGATTTTGGCTATTCTAATAGGTGTATAGTGGTATCTCATTTTGTTTAAATTTGCAATTCCTTAATGATATGATATTGAGCATATTTTCATATGCTTATTGGCCATCTGTTTATTTTCCTTGATAATAAAGAATAAAAATAGATGGCAAATACACATATAGTATCTGTTCAAATACCTATTTGCCTATTTTTAATTGTTTTCTTATTGCTGAAGTTTAAGAACTCTTTATATATTTTGGATTAAAAGTCCTTTATCAGACATGTCTTTTGCAACATTTTGTTCTAGTCTGTAGTCTTCTCATTTTCTTGAGAAACAATGAATGGTAATTAGTTGATTTTGTCAATCTTTTCTTTTGATTACATATTTTGTAAGAAAACTTTCTATAATCAAGACCAAAACCACATTCTATTTTCATCTAAAAGCATTTACAATTTGCTTTTCATGTTTAAATAATCAAGGTATTTAATCTGTTTATAAAGGGAGGTAGAGGGTCTTTTTTTTTAAAGGGAATATACAATTGTCCCATCACCATTTACTGACCAAGTTCATCGCTACCCCAGTGATCTGCAATGCTACTCCTATAGCATATCTAGTTTTCATATATGCACAAGTCTATTTATGGAGAACTTGTTACTACAATTATAGAACTAGAATATATAATTAGAATACAGAATGTATAACTATATTTATTTTTTTAATATATTTTACTTTATGTTCTAGGGTACACGTGCACAACATGCAGGTTTGTTACATGTGTATACATGTGCCATGTTGGTATGCTGCACCCATTTACTCATCATTTACATTAGGTGTATCTCCTAATGTTATCCCACCCCACTCCCCACACCTCACAACAGGCCCCGGTGTGTGATGTTCCCCTTCCTGTGTCCAAGTGTTCTCATTGTTCAGTTCCCACCTATGAGTGAGAACATGCGGTGCTTGGTTTTCTGTTTTTGTGATAGTTTTTGAGAATGATGATTTCCAGCTGCATCCATGTCCCTACAAAGGACATGAACTCATCCTTTTTTATGGTTACATAGTATTCCATGGTATATATGTGCCACATTTTCTTAACCCAGTCTGTCATTGATGGACATGTGCGTTGGTTCCAAGTCTTTGCTATTGTGAATAGTGCCTCAATAAATATAAGTGTACATGTGTCTTTATAGCAGCATGATTTATAATCCTTTGGGTATATACCCAGTAATGGGATGGCTGGGTCAAATGGTATTTCTAGTTCTAGA